TTTTTTTTTTTGGAAAACAGTGAAATCTACATTGTTCCTGAAGCATTTTCAGTCTCAGAGGCAATTTCAATTCCTCATAGGACTAAATGACTCATACAGCCATGCCCCTAGAAGACAACCTAGAGCCTGTTTGGCCAAGCTTCTGGGAGGCCAAAATTACTTTTTGTCAAAAAGTACTTTTTGAAAAATTTAAAGTGTTTGGCCAAAATAAAAAAGTACTTTTGATTAGTAACATAGGCAGTTTTTTGTTTTTGGGAAGAAACTACAAATTCTAGTTCCAAGAAGCAGAAGCAGAAAATTAATTTGTTCAAGACAAAAATAACCTTACAACAAAGTTATATTTTCCAAATTATCCCTCATTAATTTAACATTTTTCTTTTCCTTTTCTATTTTCTTTTTATTTCTACTATACCTTTCTTTTCTTTATTATTTTAATCAAACTTCTATTCTTTTTCTCCTATTCCTAAGAGTAGATCTTAAATTTATATTGAATTATGTATTTAGACATAATTAAACTATCATATAAACAATAAGTAATCCGAACACTCAATGTTATTGCTTGGAATAACTATATCTTATATTGATTGGAATTTTTAATTTATAATTTTATTTTACATTTTATATTTTAATTGAATTATTTTATGATGAATATTTAAATTTATTTTTCTTTTCTAAATAATAGTAATTGCAAATTGAACATTTATTGTCCTCTTTCGTAATTTGATACTTAAAAGTACTTTTTTAAAAGATTGGTCAAACACAATGAGCTTCAAAAAGCATTACTCAACCGAATTGGCCAAACACAAACTGCTATTTTGCAAAAGTACTTTTTCAAAATAAGCAGCTTTTGGCAGCTTGGGCAAACGGACTCTTACTAGCAGTGACGACATCAAAGTCTAAGAGTTGCCAATGATAATATACACAGTTAAAGGAAGCAATTGAAAACCTAAAAAGAGGACATATGCTGCAATGTGATCACCATCATATAAAAAAAGTCATACAAGGGAGAATTGCTACTAAATAATTTGTTATACTTCAGATTTTAAGTCCAAGAAGAAGTTTGTGTCAACTGCAAACAATGTGGTCATCAAAAAGAGTACTGGGACAATCAATCTCAAAGAGATACAGGGCAAGCAATCATAAGACATTACTAATGTTCATGAATTGAATGAAATAAATGATGTTTTACATGAAGGAAAGAGTGTAATATGTTGTTCAATACCTTTTTTACCGCTTTTGTAAAACGGTTGAAATTCAAATTTTGGGTAGTGTTACCTAAATTTGTTCTGATTAACATTAAGAGAGTAATTACTACAACAATCAAAGCGTTTGTAATTGGAGGTCTTGTAAGAAACTCCAAAAATTTAGTTACCTACTTACCTCGTAGCTTTACATGCCAAACTGCCAAGATCGTGAGCGTCTTAAAGAGACACCACAATTTACAGTGGACTAAAAAGATATTTACCATGGGAAAATATGTCAAATTAACCCATCTACTTTCATTCTGGGAAGAGTAAAAGTTTGTCATGGGAAAATGTAAAATTTGTTACTCCACTATAAAATTTTGTTATGCAAAGAGTAAAAGTTTTTCATGTAGGTATATTTTGTTACTCCACTATAAAATTTTCAGCATTATTTGCCATTTTAATAATGCGTTATTGAAGGCTGCTAATATATCGTAAATTAATGTTGTAGTTACCATCATTTGACACAAAAACGTTATATTTTAATTAGCTCAAAATATGAATATAAGTTATTGTTTATTGAATTCAGCAGGCCGTAGATCGTAAATTACTATTGTAGTTACCTGTAGTAATAAGTAACCATAGCAATTCGTAAATTAATGTTATGATTAGATGTATAGTAATTTAAGCTGTTATTTTTCAGGTAATTAGTTCCATTATTTATGATTTATTTAGGTTACCATATTTAAAGGACCACATCACTGCATAAAAGCAGAAGTAAAACTCATACTCGTACTCTCCTTTAATTGGCTAGATAAATAAATTACTTAACACCTTAATTTTTTTTCTAATTTTAATAGTTTTTCGAGAAAAATATCTGATTCATTCTGGGAAGAGTAAAACTTTGTCATGTGGAAATGTAAAAAGAATTTTCAAACGACTGGTTCATTAATCTCTTTTAATTTGGAATATCGAAATTGTCATCCGAAAAAGTAACTCCTATTTATTGAGTGATTGATATTGATTTCGCTTTGCAGAAGCCAAGAAAAGTGAAAAGAAATACACAAAAGTGAAATCATTGTACCCAACTTGGTGCAATTATAATTATTTGACTGCAATTTTATGGTTATTTTGTGGGAATTTTACATAAATAATAAAAAAAAAGTAAAATTTGAAAAAAAAAACATAGTTTGGAGTGGAACGTGAAAGTTTCACTTAGTACAAATTTTGAATTTCTGTGAGTGGAAAGTGAAAATTCGGAGTGAAAATTGTGAAAACTGGTGAAAACCATTTTTTCTAATTTTCATATGGAAACTACAGCAGTAATTTACCACATTTTGCCAACTTCAGTAACTTTTGTATATTATTTCCCATATAACTAAGCATTATAAGTGTTAGTAATATTGTTTGGTTACCAAGTAGGATAAACAAGGATATCCCATGGGATTAGCCATACCATATGAGATAGCTCATCCTACTATTTTGGTATAAAATTTATCCCACCATTAGCCATTACCCATAATCAAATATGGAATAAATACAAACCCATATTTTATGCTAGAATTAGGATCACTAAATATTTCATTTTGGTATTTTTGGGTTTAAGGCGAGGAATGTTGGCCTTCAGATAAGGATTGTCGTTTTGCCACAGTATCTTTTTGGAATTCACACCTTTATTGCCTAGAATTTAGTTATTATGTATCTTGCATCCTAGAAAAATTGTTGTGGGATTAAATCTTCGAAAAATGCTTCATTCAACTGATCGTTCGATCTTCCAAAACAAAAGTCTGCATCTTTGGACCATGGTTATTAGACCTATCCAGAGAGGGTGTGGGTGTTTAGGAAGGAAGTTGTTGTTTAGAGCCTCTATTGGGTGTGTATAAACGGATTGTTATGATATCCAGAATTAAATCTTGAAATTAATAATTTCATCGGGAGATTCTAATGAAATCATAGTCCTTGCATAATGGATTGTTAACGGAATATCTGTCTTCAATCCGGTTTAGCTTTTTTCCTTGTTGTTCATATATACTCGAGGGACAATTTCCATTGATGGGTAAATCAGGCACTAACTTTCATTGTTCTTATCTAATTGAGAAAATCACAAATACTGGAATGGCAAACAACCAAAAAAGAGAAGAACATACTTATCTTCAAATAATTTTACTAATTATCTAACTGAAACCCTGCAAGAAATAATTCCATAGCAAGTATTATGAGAAAAACACTTTGCTGAAAGTGTGTGAGTATTACACCAAGCCAAGAGAGAGAAAATATCATTGACAAGGAAATTGTTTCCATTTATTTCAAGTTGAAATTCTTCTCAAAAAAAATTTGCACAATATTCTTAATCCAATATGTTTTGAGTCTACCATCCTCTAGATTTACTAGAAATTAATTAACTCATCAGAAGTAAGACGATTTTTTGCTCAAACCTCAGTTTTAGTTAAGCTGATAATTATATCATTCAATCACATTTGCTCAATTAAAAGTAGGATAAACCAATCCCTAAAGGTAGGGTCATGTTTAAGGATGTCTAGGGCCCTACTAACCACTGTCAGATGCAAGTTTGATCTGCCAGCGGTGACCTTTAACACGCTCTGTAAGACTTCAAGATCAAGACTTCCAACAGGAGGAGAATTCACTGCCTTCCCCCAGAGAGAGAGAGAGAGAGTGTATATATATATATATATATATATATATATATTTATATATATATATATATATATAATCCGTGTTAGGAATATGGGTTCATATGAACCCATAGCCGAAAGGCTACATCAAATCCACCATTTTTGAGATGTGGCCAAGTGGTGTTCAATCAAGGTGAGATGATGAGGCATGGAAAGAAAAAGCTATGTTTGAATTGCAATGAACTGCAGTTGGAATTTGTTTTATGTCATACGGTCCCTTGCTGGCCAGTCATAAGTCTAGTATGTCATTTACTATTCAGAGCAGCCAAATGGCAGAAACTGCCTGAAAATGAAATATGATGACCCTTAGTCCCTTACAGTTCTTTAAAGTTTGCTTAACACTTGTGTTTGAGTCATGCCAGCCAAATCATTTCCAGTTTACACATTAACACAAAGCCAGATACTAAATATACAGAACGATGCAGAAAACAGGTCTAACACAAAGATGATATGGACCACAAGAAAGATCATTCACTATAGTGTATGAGTAGTTACCGTAAGTGGCTCTCCCATGTAAAAATGCCATGTTTCTGAACATGGTATCCGATGAAGGTGAGACGAACTTCCAGAAGGCACCAAGAAGTAAATGCATGTACTGATAGGTCGATCAACCTTAACTGCAAAGGCGTAATCAGAAAGATCAGGAAGAAACAAACCAATTTGAGAAATTTCAACCAGTATTCTTTGTTATGAGGTAAATGATACTCATATTACACTTGAGAAACTAGTCAGAACTTAAGAACAGAAAACAGAATTCCATCATCTTGACGAAATATTTTAAGTGCTCAAGACAATGGAATGCTCCAATTAGAGGCAGAACACCACGAGCATTGAAGTTGAAGGAGTCACCAAAATTTACTCCAGTTCTTAACACGTTTTTGCAAGTTAACTTTTTCGATAAAAGGTCAGTGTACCTTCTTTTTTGCGAGTTAACCAACTGATTTTTTTTTTTTTAGAAAAGGTCAGTGCACCAGTGAAGTGGACATGCTTTGTTATTGTCTCGTGGATACAGAACACTTTAATCAAATCTTCATTGAGGAGAAAAATCTGTCTAGTGCTCCCAATAATTTATCAAAAGAAACAGCTGCCATTTATTAAACTTCTGAATGGAGTTGAATTCAATAATACATCCAGTATGCAGAATGGCTCAAATCATTCGCAAAACTATCTTTCTTGTCCAAGTTTATACACTTAAAAGATCAAGTTGCTATTCTTGTTCTCCAAACCAAAATTTCTCCACTACTTTTGCTTAGTGTAGAAATTCAAGAGGCTTGTCATATCGATGAAAGCTATTTGCATTCAATTCCATAGCAGTCTCACAAATGAGAGGGAAAGTGTGTATAAGGTGTTTCAAGCCTTAATCTTTTGTGTCCTACATTCATATTTTTTCCAGTAGGTTCGACAATGTATAGATCGTCAAGGCGATCCGAAAGTGCATCGAGTAATTCATACAGAGCCATCGAACCGGCCCAACCAGCAACCAGAGTTGTATGCATTATATGAACAGAAAGCAACCGACCGGGGATCATTCAATATAACCCTATCTGTAAAGGCGTTCGACTCAATATTCTTGAAGGAATTCTTTAGCTACATGTGACCTCCACACATGATTTTACCTTCCTCCCTCTTTTTCCTTTGTGCATTGAGTTCCATGGAATCGTTATCCGTTGGTGGAGAAAATGGAGAAAGATTTAGATCTAGAGATTTATAGGTCTTTCGAGACAACTTACTTCCATATGGTTTTAGTTTACGTCGTCCCCTTTTAATACCTTCACTCACCATGGCTTCACACCTACGGATCTCAAGCGACCTTCTCTCATTTTAACCTCAATCGTATGCTACTAAAACCATCTTCGACACTTGCAATTAAACTGCATAGTAAAACCCCATAACATCGGAAACAAGCTCTCTACATTTACAAGGTAGGGGTAAGGTCTGTCTATACACTACCCTCCCCAAACCCACTTGTGGGACCACACTATTTATGTTGTTGTTGTTGTTGTGGTAGAACCCTGTAACATTGGAAACAACATTTCAACCTTCACAAGGTAGTAGTAAGATATGCGTACACAATATCGTACCCAGACCCAATTTGTGGGACCGCACTGGTTATGTTGGTGGTGTTGTTGTAGTAAAACCCCATAACCTATATATCCCAAAAAGCCACACGTGGAAGAGAAACAGACAAAGATCCAAAAATCCCATGAGCAGCTTAATTGGAAGGATCAAGATAGATGATAGTTACAAAGATTCAAGACCCACAAATAAAAAACTAAAGAACTTTATACAGAAAGACCCAAAAAAATCAAAAAGTAAAGAACTTTATACAGAACGAACCACAAATCAAAAAAGTAAAGAACTTTATAAATAAAAGACTTACAAGTAGGTGGAAGGTGAGATGTGGAGAGAATAACAGAGAAGTCTCTGAATGTTTCAGAGTAAAATCCGCCTTCTGGGTGTGGCTTCAAGTTTAGCTTTGCTACAATTTTGGAAGCTGTTGGCTCAGTTGAATCTGAAGCCATCTTTTTTCTCAGGGTTTACTGTGGAGCTGGTCTGTGTAACATGTCTACTTCCTCTTGCTGGTTGTTGGAAATTATCAATGCCCTTTTAATTAAATATAACAAATTCTATTGACTAACATGATAAAGAGATAATTGAAACTTTTTCCAAGAAAATGACAAAAACGATCCTTTATCTACAATAATCCCGTAATTATAAGTTATAACCCTAAATTTGCTAAAAGTGAATACGTTTGATCTCTATCAACTATTTAACACATTCGTTCGATTAAGCAAAACTACATACATAGTCAAATAGGATCAGTTAAATGTGTCGCTTTGGACCAAGCCCACACGATTTTCCCAAGGCCACGCACCATTAATAAATCCATACACCGTATATATGTAAGCTTTTAATTTTTTCAGTTATAACCCTAAATTTGCTAAAAGTGAATACGTTTGATCTCTATCAACTATTTAACACATTCGTTCGATTAAGCAAAACTACATACATAGTCAAATAGGATCAGTTAAATGTGTCGCTTTGGACCAAGCCCACACGATTTTCCCAAGGCCACGCACCATTAATAAATCCATACACCGTATATATGTAAGCTTTTAATTTTTTCAGTCACCAATGTGGAACTTTGTTCGCACACGCAACAATCTTACCCTCGAACAGCAAACCAGTTCCACGTGGCCCATTACCACGGGTTAATTTTTGAGATTCATTGTGTGTCACCTTCATCGTTAGAGTATTTTTGGCACCAAAGCATGTAACTATATTCTTTTCGTGTGCGCGTCTCCAAACTCGTAAGAGTAAGCCAATCGAGCCTCGCACTATCATTTTGCCATCATATGTACGCCATTCATAGCACATAGTCATCACTAATAACTCGGGCAACTAGTGTCTCAACCAAGTTTAGGTAAGATACTTATCTCACGCAAGCTAAATTAATACTCTAGAAATCCTTTCCCGAGCGAATCGACCTCCGAAAGGCTCAAATCTAGACAAAAACAATAAAGCTCCGATCTTTATCAAAAGTCAACCAAAAAGTCAACCCGGCCCACACCCCAGAACCCGACCAAAAGTCACAAATCCAAACACCCATTTGAATACGAGTCCAATCATACAAGTTTCATCCAATTTTGACTCGTCCCGCTGAACCTGGACTCTGATACCATTTATTAGGCTAAACCAACTCAAAGATACTCTTAACGTGGTATGATATTGTTAGCTTTGGACCAAACCCGCACAGTTTTCCCCAAAAGGCCTCACATCATTAAGAGATTTCTATATCTTATATGTAGACTCTTAATCTTTTCGGCTACCAATATGAGGCTTTGTTCGTACGTCCAACAAAATGAAATGGAAGGAGTACATTTAGACTTCTTATGTTGTTTAGGAGTTAAGAAGAACTAGACTAACTTATAAATTTAAATTAATAAATAGAAAGAGATGCATTACATATCGTGCCTTTCATGTATATATGCTACTGAATGCTTCACTTCAGTTTTAGAGTTCAAAGCTAGAGATCATCTTGTGACTAACACCTAACGCTCTCCTGATTGGAGCATGTAAGATAGTATGTAATGTTCGCAGTGGCGTATGCAGCATTTTGCGTAAATAGCATCGGCCTATAATCACAATTCTGCTTGTAAGTAGGTTCGATGTAGTGATTTTTAAAATTTACTTTCTGTACCAAATTGCGATATATTATGTATTATTTTCAAGCAGTGTCCCCCTTCTGCATATGTAACTATTAATCTTTTAGAAAATTATCATTTACTCATGCATATATAAGGAAAACTATTTGCGAAGCCGTGTCAGAAGACACCTCTTACAAAAGGATGTCTCTGTCACTAATTAAATATATGGGAAGTCGAAAGGTTATATTCAAAATCTATGTCGAAATTGATCAGTGCAGAGATAATCACACCGTTGCTGCAAGTTTGGATAAGATATTCTTATCTAAGCCTGAGATCTAAATCTCATTTTTAACTAAAAGAAAACCATAATATACAATAAACCAGAAGATGTACTATTAGAAGAACTTATTACTTAAATGAATAGCTATTTGCTTAATCGATGAACATGCAAAATCAAGGCAACTTCATGCATAAATATCATGTTTTTGGCTATTTAGATGTCTCATTTTTGGTTCTTGTAGAAAGTAAAGTCCTCTTGTTTGGCCACATAGCTTTGCATTCACCAAAGGGAATGTCAAATGAACCTCACTCCACTTTATCTGTCTTCATTTTTCCTCTAAGTTGAAAGAGTAATGCAACATTTGTTTGAAATAAGCCCTTCTCAATCCTCCACTACTTAGTCATTTAGCACTTTTTGACTAATCTTTGAGTGCTCTTCCATTTTTGTACATTCTTTATATACATATTGTATGTATGTATGACCCTACTACCAAGTAGGTGGCGAAGAATAAATCGATAGATGTGTAGAGTTTGACTGAGATAAAACAGAATCAAAGGGCTAGGAGCTCTGGCCGACAACGAAACTAAGTGTAACCTTCACAATGGTCTTACTTCTTTTTTTGGCCTCCTGATCTAACCTGTCACCTTTTGGAAATTTCATGTCCATCAAATTAAACTTATCTCTTCTATCCTCCTTGATGCTTCTTTCATGTCAATCCTTTTTTCCGGATCGCTTACAGTACAAGCAGCTCCTACATGTAGTAGCTTCACCATTTGTTCAATGGAATCTGTTGCATTTGCTATCTCTTGGTCAATCAATTCTGATTCTCTATTGTCAGCTATTGCTGATTGCACCCATTGAACAACGTCGGTTCCACCTTTTTGATTGTTGAGATATTGGGAAGGGAATTTGCCTGTAAGGATCTCGAGTATTATGATTCCAAGACAATAGACATCACTTTTTGGAGAGATTTGTTGATTTTGTATGGCTTCTGGGGATTTATATGCGAAAAGGCATTGAACGGTTTGTGTGTTGTTGATTAGCGGATAAAAGGCGTAATCTGAGAGAAGTGGTTCATATTTTTCAGTTAGTAGAATGTTGCTTGACTTAAGGTTCCCATGAGGCACCACATATGATGCAAATTCAGAATGAAGAAAATTCATTCCACTAGCAACTCCGTGGATGATTCTTAGGCGCGTCGGCCAATTTAGCTCAGCGTGTGATATCCCTCGATCACCTGAAAAGTACGTGTGAAATTTCAAAATTAGGATAGTTAACATAAAGAACAAAGTGTATACCAGGGGAAGATGCAGGTATAGATTCCTAAGCTCATCTGAACCCTGTACTTTCGACTCAAAACATAAATTTATGTGTAAAATTCACTAAGCTTCCGCTATGTGCAGGGTCCGAGGAAGGGCTGGACCGCAAAGGTCTATTGTACGCAACCTTACCCTTCATTTCTGCAAGAAACTATTTTCACGGCTCGAACCCGTGACCTCCTGGTCACATGGCAGTAACTCTACCAGCTACGCGAAGGCTCTCCTTCAAATCCACTAAAATTTCAATAAATAGTATATATGAACTCGTAACGTCAAAATATTTATAGTCATGCAAATGTCAAAAAATAAGTTGCAAACCTTAAAGATTGAAATAGATGAATTGAAATGGGAGCTGAAAAAAAATATTGTCATACCATGTAATAGATACAATAGGCTGCCTTTGGGAACATACTCAGATACCAACAACTTCTCCTCTTTTCTATAATGATATGCCAATAACTGCAATATATTCCTGTGCCTTAACTTGCTAATTTTCCTGATCTCTGTATCAAAGACATCTCTATTCATTTTATTCATCTCTCTCAACCTCTTCACCACAACAGACAGTCCATTGACCATTTTTGCCTTATAAGCTGATCCTAACACGCCGTTTCCAAGGACTTCAGCAGCTGCCTTCATCAAATCAGGCAATCCGAACGTACCTTTTTCCTCGTTTACCAACACGAGATCGCCCGTGGCCTTACCCCTCTGTGATCCAGCTCCCCTTCGCAATGATTCATGCACCGAATCACCCCCCTTGCTATGAATGCTCGTGCTCTTCCTATTCGAGCTTGAAACATGCAACCCCTCATCAAGATTCTCTTTTCCAAGCTTGTCGAAGTGATCTTCCTTGCGCTTGGCCTTAAAAAGAATCGTTATCAACAGAAGACTAACTACTAAACCAAGAATTATCCATTTCATTTTGGACATTGGTGCTCTTTGAAAAGTATTATTCTCTTTTTCCTTGTTGCAGTCCTTCCCTAATTGTTTCCCACATAATTCATTATTCCCTTTAAAGGGATCTGAACCAAATTTTGACATGCTTTGAGGAATTTCACCTTGTAATTTATTGTTTGATAGATCAATAGATGTTAAACTTGCCTGTGAAAATGATGGAATAGGACCTGAAAATTCATTACTTTCAAGATGAAGTTCCATCAAATATTTCAAGTTAGCCAAAGATTCAGGAATTGGTCCTGAAAATTTGTTTCTTGAAAACCAAATTTTTTTAAGAGACCCCATTTTAGAGAAGAAATCTTTAGGAATCTCTCCTGAAAATTGGTTTCCATCTATATAAATAGATTTAAGAGCACCAAGGAAGAAAAATTCAGGAATCGTTCCGGAAAATGAATTATTTGCAAGTTCAAGAACTCTCAGGCCTGGAAGTGCAATCAATGGATCAACATCAATTTCCCCTGAAAGGCCAGCTTCACCTAAAAGAAGGCCTTCGACCGTGTTCCCTTCGCATTGAACACGAGTCCATTTCTTGTTCTTGTCACAAGGATTTGATCCCTTATGCCAAGTTGAATCTAAAGCTGTTGTATTTTTTAATGATTCTTTGAACTTTATCAATGCCTCATCCTCTGAAATGGAGAAAGAAAATGGTGTATTAGATAGAAAAATGAGGAAGAAAATGGAGATGTAAAAAAGAAGGTGTTTTTTGGGAGAGATTGCTAGAGGAGGAAGGAAGAGGGGAACAGCGGCCATGTTTGTTACTAGACATGACACCTTCCCCTAAAGAAACAATCAGCCGCTGTCCAGAGAGTTTGGATTTCTTTGCTTCTTTTCTTGGAAGGTGTATGCTGATTTTCTTGATTGGTTTGTTTGTTTTTGGACAATGGAATGATGATGNAGAGGACAAACAATATTGTTTTAGAGAACAGATTTCGGAATTGGTGAATCTTGAATTGACATTGTCTATGGTAGTAGAGGCTTTTGCGCTTGACTTATTAGGCAGATTAAACTTTTCACCCCATATTCTTGGAATGATTTTTTTCTTTTTTGATAATGTTGGCCAGAGGCAAACCTATGTACAGGGAAGAGGGGTCACCCGACGCCGTTAAACTTGCAAAAATTCTAGATATATATGTGTGTATATGTTGAAAACGGTTATATATTTTGCCAAGAATCCTTATGATCAAAAGTCCGATGGGGCACTGGTTGACCAGTCCGCTCATGTGAACTCACACTTTTAAATCATGAGTTCGCCTCTGATGCTGGCGACCTCCCACTATTACAACTATCTTTTTGGGATTTGAATGTTAGTTTTCAATGGTTTTCACTCACTTCATTGACCGCTAGGCCACATCCTTTGAGTGCCAAATGTCTACGAATGATTTCTACCATAGTTTCAAGCTATGGTATTAAACTTCAGAAATTCAAATAATTCTCCATAATTGTTCCTTATGTATATAGTAATTCTGGCATTGTATTAACTTCTTTGTTAGGCATTACTACATTGAAGTCTTAGTTTTTCCTCCCAATTTGAACTGTGTTAGTTTCAGATTTTAGATTTAAGGATCTGTAGTTGCATCTCACTGAATCTTGGACATCCATTCATTGAGTTCTGGATCCAGAACTAGAACAGAAATCAGTACAAGGTCAGAAAATTTAAAGAAACCGCGATTATGTCAAGAATGATATCTCATTTACATGAATGCATTAACATAAAGAAGAATTTCTTGGTACAATGTAGTCATTTGTAATTGTTGGTGCAAGTATCTTCAACTCTGAATCTCTTCTATCTTGAATATAATACCATCATTGGGATCCAAAAGCCTGCAAAGATAAACAAGATGAATATTAAAAAGATGAACAAATCACATAAATTTCTATAACATCTTTCTTGAAAATTGTCTAGATGATGGTAGAAGGGAAGCCTCGGAGCAACGGTAAGGTTGTCTCCTTGTGACCTATAGGTCACGGGTTCGAGCCGTGGAAGCAGCCAGTAATGCTTGCATTAGGATAGGCTGTCTATATCACACCCCTTGAGGTGCGGCCCTTTCCCCGATCCTGTGTGAACGCAGGATGTCTCGTGCATCGGGCTACCCTTTGTCAAGATGATGATAATTTATGTACCGCGAATATGTTGTTATGTCCAGGATCAGCAAGATGTGACATTAAATTCTCAATAGGTCCTTGTCCAGTATAAACAGCCTGAAAACAAAATCCAACAAAAGCTAACATAGCGAGTCGACCATTCTTGATCTCCTTAGTTCTCAAAACCATAACAGGTTCAGGAGATCCTCTTCCCCACATAAAAGGATCAAACCATAATCCACCAGGATATCCAACATCTGGTTTTGGTTTCTTCTTGTGAGGTACTTTTAGTTCAATATCAACACATCCTGGATTGATTATATCGGCCCATCTTCGGCCTTCGGCCCATCCCATTAAGACTAGTTGCACAACAAATAAAGTTGTGGAATCTGCAAAATACTCTCTTTCACCAGCATCATACCATGAAAAGTTGTCAATGAATCCAAGACTTTCTAACCATTCTGGAATTAGAATTCCAGCTACTGCTAACATTGCCCATCTGCTGTGCATTAGCTCAGCTTGAGCAAACCATTTTAATGTTTCTGGATCAGACCCTGAAAAAGAGACCATTGCTTAATTAAAAAAATCCAATTGATAGTCATTAAAGAATATAAACGAAACGATACGGTCTACCAATGAGACAAGAGGTGTTGCTCTGATGGTAAGCAACCCCCACTTCTAACCGAGAGGTTGTGAGTTCGAGTCTCCCCAAGAGCAAGGTGGGAAGTTCTTGGAGGGAAGGATGCCGGGGGTCTATTTGGAAACAGTCTCTCTACCCTAGGGTAGGGGTAAGGTCTGCGTACACACTACCCTCCCCAGACCCCACTAAGTGGGATTATACTGGGTTGTTGTTGTTGTTGTTGTTGATACGGTCTACCAATGACCAGCCCGGGCGACCGTTTACCAAAAACACAGGTCTTTGCAAAGTCCTAAGACCGTGTACCAAAAGGTCAAGAAAGTTGAGTGACCTAATGACTATATTGCTCGGACTCTCCAAAAATATTGTCGTGTGCGTGTCATATCCTCCAAAAGTAATGCACTTTTAGAAGATCCAACTTGGGTACGGCAGCATTTTTGGAGAGTCTACGCAACATCGTCTCATGATAAGGGAGCCAGTAACCAAGGCCCCAATGAACGGCAACTCAACTGTAACTATAATAGTTAGGTAGTGAAATTCCTTGTTGGATCAGTTCCAACCCGAACTGAAACTTGAATCTAAACTAAGATCTTCCTCATTTTCTCAAAAAAAGTGACATTTATGCTGTGTACCTAATCCCAGTGGGTCAAAGCCAAAATCTCCAGGAAGGCTGCAATTTAAGAATAAGAAAACAAATCATAAATCTGTAAAATCACCAATCAGAAATAATAAAATAAAAAATAAAAAAATTATGTAACCTGCCATCAAGCCATTCAGGAGGTGAACTTCCAGGAAACCATAATGGCCTATCTGGAGGGAGTGGTTCACAAACACTTGATACCTCTTTTCCAGCATTCAATCTACTTCTTCTAGGTAATAAACATGTTGTGAATTTCCCTGGCAAATTTTTTGTAGGTAACTCCCTGAATCAAGATAAAATTAGAATCTGTTGAGACGTAATATAATTAAGTAATTAAAAGTGTGTTATGTCTAATAGTTTAAGCATTCATATGAGATGGTCGCATAATTTAATATGATAATCGACGCCCAGAGAGCAAAAAGCATTTCCACGTGAGGCGGCGCGTTGAGACATAATATAATTGTGTAATAAAAAGTATATTTTCTATAATAGTTTATGCTTTTAGATACAATGATTGCACCATTTAAGAGAATCATCGAATTACTTAGAAATATAATTATAGAATATCGAAGTAGAGCCTTAGAGCAACAGTCTAGTTGTCTCCGTATGACCAATAGGTCATGGGTTCGACGCGGGGAATCAGCCGTTGATGCTTGCATCAGGTAGCCTGCCTACATCACACCCATTGGGCAGGCTACATGATGAATACGGGCTGCTTTGTGCGTCGATTTGCCCTTTTAAAATTACAGAATACCATATGCTCAAGAACTAAATTTGTAATTCAGCGTTACTGACCTGATTGGGATGCTAGAAAATGCAGTGGAATGAATGGCTAGAGCCATGAAAAAATGGCCTAAACAAAGGCACTATGTAATTTGAAAGGAGAAATGTGTAATGTTTTTGGGCAGTCTGTTTATTAGGACAATAAAGCTTATCTTCATAGAATGTGAAATGGATGATGAAGCATACCACAGCAACACAAAAATGGACCAATCAGAGTTAGAAGTTTAGTTTTTGTCTTTGTTAGGATATGCAGCTACAGATAGAAGCACAAACATTCTTAAGGGTTGTTATTTAGATATTAACCGCGGCTTATTTTGTCTTGAAATTTTGAATTAAAAATTTTAATTTCAGGACAATTTAGAAAAATGTGTGTCCCGAAAAATTAAACTGGAAAATTGAAATTCATGACGCATTGGCTAATTCCTAAATAGCAGTCTTTTAGAGTGGCTACCTGCAGTCATTTCTACTGTTCCATTGGCTATCTACTGGAAAAAAAATTGGGAAGCTTTTTCCTTGAGAAATTAATACGTAACAAAAGAGTTCAGAATCTCTTTTCTATTTATTTTTACAATTTAAAAACTAATTGTTTGTACTTTTTTAAAAATAAATAATTATTTCGAGGAAATATAAGAGAAAACAACAGCTATATTATTGTTGATTTTTCTGTAGTACAAACAGAAAATTTTCTTACTACAAGTCTAACTTAATTTAACCTTTTGAAAAGAAATCACACCAATAGAATATTCTATAAATTAAATCAAATTATCAAGAGAATGTAAATTGACGGTGACTTAATAATAATATATTATAGCATGTTTAATATTTTGCTATATTGACGTAAAGCACTTAAATATAAATCTTACCTGTCTTCGACCTTTTTAGCAAAATTAAAATTGTCTCCTATTTTTACCACCATTTTCTCACATATATTAATGAGCCTTGCTAGGAATTCCATCATAAATGTAGTGGAATTTATAAAATGAATGATTTGCATAATCGATTCTCACGTTGAGAAATTAAAAGTAAATTTAATTTTTAAAATATTCACTAGTATTGATGTGATATTCAAATTCGGAGAGTTGAAAGGGACAACTCTTTTTAATAACAGAAAAATAAAGCATATTATTTATCAAGATTTAACCTGAGTTTAGGAAAAATGTTCACTAATAAACTAGAGTTAAAATATTCTTCTCTTAGTTTTCACTCTTTCCTTTGTCTAACTATTATTCCGGCGTGTACGTATAAAATAAATTGAATAGGTCATAATGTCATATTTATCTCACATTTGTAACGAATTAGGTATTTTAACGAAAATTACTAGAAAAAGCAACTTGGCTTTAAAAGGGAAAAATAGGTTAGCTAATTAAATTTCTTACCAAAAACTAAACAAGAAGCAAATCCAATAGCCACCTGGTTTACGTTTAAACTAGAGTTTTTGCGTCTTGAGAAGGTAGAGTGTACGCAGACTTTACCCCTACCTTTAAGCAGGCAAATAGGTTATTTCCGGTCGACCCTCGGCTCGGGACTTTAATAAACTCACAAAAAGAAAATCTTTTTTTTTTGTTTCACACTCGGTGTCTGATATTTGCTTTGATTTTTCCATTATGTTAGTATCACTTGTCAAGCTTAACCTTTGATTTTTCTTCCGTTAGTTTTGCTATTCCTAGAGCTCGACCATTTGACCACTGATTAAGATAAAATGATAATATTCATCCCACCATAATTCTCAATAGGGATTCTTCCGCTATTTAGAGAGCTCTAGCCTGTGACCTTTGATTAAAATAGAGGGATCATATTCATCCTACCACAGTCCTCGATAGGAATCTTTCTATTATTTCGAGAGCTCTAATCCGTGACCTCTGATTAAGATAGAGGGATCATATTCATCGCACCACAGTCCTCGATAGCAATCCTTCTGCTATATTTAGAGTTCGAACCCGTAACCTCTGACTAAGATAGAGGAATCACATTCATCTCCCACAATCCTCGATAAGAATCCTTCTTTCTTCAAGCACGTTACTTCAAACTTCAAAGACTATAAGAGGTAATATTTACGGACAAGTCAATTTATAAGGTGGAGAAATTTTTTGAAGAGTCCACTTAATTAAGCCTTTAAGGTAACGTTATTTGGTAGTTAAATTGATTATTTACATATATTTAACTCTTATAATTAATAGAAAGCAAAATTTGCACAATGATGTAGACTCAGTCATTCAGGGTGTCTACTATTTATATAATTTATTGAACTGTCATTTTAATAAAGTTTCTTTAACTACGAAATTGCTAAGAACAACAGTTTGTTGACAAAAAATTCATACCATTAGAGTGATGGTATTGTATTGTCTATTTTCCTATGATTGACAAATGCATATCACACTTCACTCATTTTCTTTAACGAAACTATTGGTGTAGTCTAATGGAGTAATTAAGATTTTGACTTGTAACTTTAATTTTCTTGTAATAACAATGTTAGTTTTCTCTTATTTAGTTACTCCTATTTAACATATAGTATGTTAAGGATATAGTAGATATGCCTTAGATCCAAATTCATATTTGATGATTTGAACATATTTTTGTGAACTGTTGCGGAAGCCAAATGTATATAGTGTGAATAAGTCACAACTACTATACCAAAAATTATNTATAATTCCTAATGGTTAGAATTACCATAAACTGTCAATAGGATATTCTCTTGAAGAATGTGACGTAGGAGTTTCCTTTGTCCTGAGATCGTCATAGTAATTGACAAGTTATTTGTTGTGCTTTAATACTAGACACTTATGGCCCTAGGGCGATAGTTGAAAGGATATTGAGTACGATTGAATACTTGTAGAATTAGTGATTGATCAAGATGGAATCTGTCAACTCTTGTATTGAGTTTAAGCTCCATGTTGTCATGAATTATAAACGACCAAATTAAGACCTTGGCCAGGGCAATTGAATGAAAGAAGAAAAGAGTTTCTCAGGTCATTCAATGGTCGATTATATTTGACATGAACACATAGTTGGTCGCCTATTAGGATTTGACAGTTGAACCATATCTTAGGGTGATCCAGAGCTATAAGGACAGAAAGAATTACTATATTATTCTTCTACTGGTTCTTGAGAGTAAATTGTATACTTCATGCTATCCGGTCGTTAAGGAGTGTTGCTAGACGCCACCCTTGATTAGTATATTGATGTGATCAATTTATTACCGGTTTAGTATTGAACCTATGGAGTCGCACACTAACGAGTGTTCTGATCTTTGCTAAAGGATTAATTAACTTATTATTTGATAATTAAATTAAGGAATTTAATTAATCAAATAAATTTAGTTATTAGTCCAAATGAAATATTATTATATTCTTTGCTAGCACAAAGGGTATGATTAATATTGTGAACAAATTAAAGTTTTCTATTTGGAATAGAAAATTAAATTATATCTCTTGGTTAAAATATATATGTGATATATATAATTAACACTTATTTTATATAAAAGATGTTATATAAAATATTAATAAGAAATTACAAGAAATTATTTCTTGTTCTACTAACATTGAGGTGAAATTTTTGAGAAAAATTTCAATACAATATTTTTCGTTCAATTTGTTCGCGGGCTTTGATGATCAAAGAGTTGATAGCAAGGATTGGTCTCGGTGTGGATACGCATAGAATCTTCGCACTATCGAATAATTTGAAACGAGACTTTCTTCACCAGATACGTCTTAGATCCGATCTATTGACATGTAAATAAATTTTAAACACGAAAAGATCTACCTAGGATTGTTATTGTCTTCCGCTGCGTGTTACGAACACCTATATACAATCCTTCGTAGTATACATTACATTGTAAATATTTTTGTTCCGATATCAAAGTAATTTAACTAGTTGTAGCAAGTTGAGTGGTTTATTTTTTAGATAAAGATATTCTAGTTTAACTTATTACTGGCAGTCACATAATTCTTTTTATTTATTTTCTACTCGATATTCGATATTTATATTTAGTGGCAGAGACATGATTTCTATTAACGGAGTTTAAAAAAGAAAAAGTTAAAAAAATTAAAAGAGACTATGGCCAGTGGAAATTGAACCAACAACCTCATAAAGATTTTGAACGCCCTTAACTAGTGAGCTATGTTTTGGCGTTATGCTAAGGAGATTCAATATATAATATACAGAGGTGAAAAACGGATTTAATTTTGCTTTATATGTACAATATAATTTTTCGGTGAAGGGTGAACCCTCTTTCGTCCCCCTAAATCCGCCCTGGCCCATATTGGGACTCGACTAGATCCAGATTCGCACCGAGATATCCCACATTGAAGGTAAAACGCTTCCTAACAAAAGCGACTTCCATACCCATGGCTCAAAGCCGAGATCTCTGGTTAACAATTTGTTTAGATGGTTGTTACATGTTATATTGTATCATACTTTAATTATGATAAGCCTTTCTATCCCGAAAAGGTAGGGGTAAGGTCTGCGTACATTCTATCTTTCCCAAACCCCACTAGTGGGATGATTAATGGGTTGATGATGTTGTTGTTGTACCTTAATTATGTTGTTTGTTTTTATTGTTATTTAAATTTTAATGTATCGTATCGTTAAATCTATAATATTTTATCTTTTACCCTACCTTTTTATATAATAATTTACCTCGTACCTTATTTTTTTCTTTGTAATATTGTAAGTTTATTTTTCATATTATTGGCGCATGACATCACGAAATGACGACAAACAATATAATTTATCCAAACATTATATATATTAAAACGATATAGTACAATACAATATAATATAATACGATACATAACAACCATCGGAACACGCTACGAGAATGAATGAGTACTTACTATTACACAACAACTGGTTTTATAAAGATTTTTATTAGGTAATATTTAGTGTTCGGAATTATAAAATCTTTAAATTAACTTAAATTATTATTCTGTAGATTTATTTATGATAACCATAGTGAAAAGATTAAGCAAAATCCCAAATGGATCAGGCTAAGTGATACCACGTTCAACGCAAAACCTTTGTTTGGGTAAACACCCTCTTAATCAAACTAATTAACCATCAAAATTTCAAAACTATGGCTTCTGCATCTTTCTTCATCCTTTGAATTTACTCATTCCACTATACCTATCCCCATCTACCCTACCCAAGTACCCAACCATCCCACTGATCCTGACCACTACACTTCACCTTCCCCATTCTTTCAACCTAATTAATATTACACTTAGTACATTGTTCTTTAATAAAACAAGATTGAGATCCCAACATAGAACTGGGTCTGTTTTTTTGGACATGGTGGAGACGGTAACGACACCGTTTTGGTGGCGGTGTACACAATTCCACCACCCGCGTCGATGGTTACCGGCAGTTTTCATAACCCACAAAGCCATTATCACTGCGCTATGGATCGCCTTTTTAATAACCCTTTTCTGGTGGCAGATGGATTCTACTACTACCGGAATCTTGATTTTCCGGCGAGTTTTTCCGTCGAGGCAGCTGCCGAAGCTCCGGCATGTGGCGTTTAACTTGACGGACTTTGGTGGGGTTGGTGATGGTGTTACTGTAAATACAGCAGCTTTTGAGAAGGCAGTATTAGCAATTTCTAGAAAAGGTGGAGGGCAGCTAAATGTGCCACCTGGTTATTGGCTAACGGCGCCGTTTAATCTTACTAGCCATATGACTCTGTTCCTTGCTGAAGGTGCTGTTATATTGGGTGTTGATGTAAGTTTTTTACAGTTTTGTTAATATGTTAGTGTTAAAAGTTCTAATCTTGCTCAGCGAGCTCAGAAGTTACTTTTGTTTAAGTTATATACATTGACAGTTTAAATTAATGTAATTTAACCTATTATAGCAGGTTAGTTACCATTTATTCTAGGTTAGCAATTAATGCTATTAAATAGAATTGCCCACAATTACTTTTTAGGTGACCTAATTGTGTAAATATTTTTTACATCGTCAACGTATATATCTCTGTTCCTTACTGAAGTGCTGTTATATTTGGTGTTGATGTAAGTTTTAATAGTTTTCTTAATCTGTCAGCATTTAAAATTTGTAATCTTGCCAACTAAGCCTGATATTTAAACGGAGAAGGGTAGTGGGGCGGGCCCATTATGCCCGAGGTTCGAAGGTTACTGTTGGTTCTAAGGGTTGGCGGCTTGGCGCCAAACGGATTTGTCATAAAAAATAGTTTAATCTTGCTCAATGAACTCAGAAAGTTACTTTCTTGATGTTTGATTGTTCACCTCATTGTTCCCGTTCCTGTAATTGTATATCATTTCCTCTCTGATTGTTTAGTTGGCTTTGCTTAGACCTGTGATATCCATATTGTGCTTATTGCTTAGTGTTTACTTATGGAAGTCTTATTATTTATTGATGGAGTTGTTTTTTTTTGTGGGTGGGGTGGGGTGGGGGGGTTAAGTCTGATTTGGTTTATACTGATAGTCGAGCTAGATTTAGGTGATTTGAGTTATTGGATTGATGAGAAGTGAGAGATGATGTTGTATCTGTCAATTTTCTGTAGTTGATGCATCTCATAATTTGTGTTAGAGGTTAGTGCAGTTTCTTGTGATGATGATGGATGAGAATTTCATTTGTAGTATTCTCGATCGATCATGCCCGGACTTTTCTGTCATGATCCACCTCCCGACATTCATCTACTGCTTCCATAGAAATTCTAAGTTTCTGAGTTAAAGGTTTTTGCATTCACTCATATATATGTCTTAAATTGATAATGCAATCCAACTTTGCCTTCAATAATATCAAGTTGTTTAGCACCTTTCTTGATTTGCTCCTTAATTTCTTTCCTCTTTGTTGAGGACTGGCCTGTTGTGTAGTTTCTTTTTGACAGTCACAGTCTTCAACTTTTAATCCCAATCTATCCCTCAATTCTTTTGGCGATCACTGGTGCTTGTGGATAGGCATATGAACTATTAAATGTTTTTGTTCTAATTATCGCCTTTGCAAACAGACAGTTTCTGGTTGTAATACGTGGCATAAGCGGGAGAGTGAAGGAAGAAAAAATTGCTTTAATCTTGCTTGAAACTTAGTTTCACAAGGTAAAACCTTACATTGGGGGCTAACTTGAATAAATCTTGAAGTTCAATTATTAAATATTAAATGCCAAGGGAGATTTTTCTTAATAAAATGTTGTTAAAGTACAAAACTGCAAACACCTATATTTCTAGGAAAAGAAGTGTTTAAACCCCTAATCCCTGTCCAAATTCCATATTGAATTTTATTTGTTGATTTTGAACACCAACGGAAATATTTGTACTAACTAAAGGTATTTAATACAAAGCTGCTAACACCTCAATCAATTAATACGCCTCAATCGCAAACCGCGCATACCTACAAAGATAAAGTAAGAGTCTTATAGCCACTAGGATTCAAATTAGATGAGTTTCCTAAATCCCTCGGGAAGCATGACATAAAAGAAGTCAATTTTGGACTAGAGATCTGTAGCATGAAAAGTTGCTTGCGCGTAGTGCCTCACTTGTAATTGTTAACTTCTTTCCTAACTATGTTTCGACCTTATCCCTGACATTTCATCTGCATTCTTTATGGTTGTTGTCGACATGGACCTATGGCCTCTTTCTTTGATTTTTAGTTATATTCACCTCTTTTAATAGTCATTTAATTCACTGAACTACTAGCTGCTTATTCTCTTTCAATGTCGATGCTATGGAGTTTTTATGATGTAGCTTCTACATATAATTGCATATGATCATGCAATTACTTTGCGCTTTTGTCAATTGGCGATGTGAATGTAAACTACAACAAGTCAACAACTACTGCTCCTCAATGCAAAGTAAAATAGTGGCGTTGGCATATGAATCCTAACTATTCATGTTGCTCTACTTGGACCCGTTTCATTTCAATATTCTATAGACTCTGAGGTTCTCTTCATTTTCTCCTACCATACAAGTTTCTAAACATACTAAAAGGACTCTTAGCAACACTATACCTATGTAAGAATAGCATCACGACTGAGCCTTAAGCCCAACTAGTAAACGGGCCTATATGAATCTTTTGCTTTAATTATGTCCTATTTTTCGCTAAATTTGCATAGATTTTGAGAGCTTGTAGGCTTTTCATTATAGCTTCCTTGTAATTTTAGGTTTATCTCCTCCCTTATTAATACCTCAAATCCTTATGGTATCACACTTACAGACTGGTGTATTTGGAGGACTGTAAGGGACATGGCCATAACATCTCAAGTGATCTTATCTTAATGCTAAGTGCACCTTCTGTCAGATGTGATCATTTTTTATGCTGTCTAATCTTGTATGACTGGACATCCATCTTAACATCATTTTGCAACGCTCATCTTGTGGATATTTTCACCTTAGATACTCAGTATTCACTCTCATATAACAATTTTAGTTTTACGAATTGTTCTTTAGAACTTGGTTTTCACTTTTTTCGGCATCATCGTATTGCATTACATTCCAGTAGAACTCTTCCATTTCGACCATCCTATTTTAATTCTGTGTTACATCTTCTTCTATCATATGGTTCTCCTAGAACATAGAGCCTATCTATCTTCCTTTCTCAACTTTTGTCAGCATGGCTTTACGATCTAAAATTCTGAAGCCTTACTCATAACCTGGAGGTTGTTGTACATTAAATATCTAAATGCCTGGCTGTTATATCATGCACCCTTTCTTATTATTCAGATTTGAACAAAACGTTGGTTTGTCTTTCCTCTGAACATCTGGTGCAGTCTGCTAGGAGTGAGAGCCTTGAGAATACTCTCCTAAGGTTGCTATGCCCATATGTGATAAAGCCGCATGATGCCTGCAAAATTCTGTAGTTAATTCATCATCTTTTAAGTATGCTGACACTAACGAATTCATGCAAATATAAGTGATTTCAAGTGCAAATCATTTCAGGGGACAAGACAAATTCCGAAAACAATTGTTCTGTTTTCTGGAAACATCCTTCTAGTGCATACTAATCTAACTCTTCCACAACCAAAACCAAACGCATCATTCAAAAGAAAAAGTAAAACAAGACAAAACCAAAACCAAACAGTTTTCTAATCGAATTGCCGAGTATGTGTCTGTGTATGTGTCTGCTGGTCATGATATGGAGGTACATTAGAATAGCCCAGGTCGTTGTTGGACACCTTTGTGTACAAAATAAGAATTCTTTGCAAAACAATTGGCAGGCCCACTAGTTTAACTTAAGAATTATCCGTTTACTTATAAGTTCCGTCTTCCGGACCGTGTGGTGTAGGGAACCTTTTTGTGCGGAAACAGTTTTGCCTGCAAAGTTCAGTTTGGGCTGCTAGTTATAATTTCCAAAAGGAAAGTGAAACGACATTTTGTCATTACATTGGCATTTTCCAGCGAAAATATTTCTCTCAAAGTGCTGTTTTCTTGACGATCAAATAACTTGATAACTTCTCATCTGAAACATGAGTATACCTCTTCTAACTGAAGCCGTTTTTCTCTCTTTTTATTAGAGAATTAACAGAAGCTATTTTGTGTATGAGATTCTATTTGTATTTGTGGACACAGGACGAGAAGTACTGGCCTCTCATGCCTCCCTTACCTTCATATGGATATGGAAGAGAGCATCGTGGACCGCGTTATGGAAGTTTAATCCACGGCCAAAATCTCAAAGATGTTGTAATCACAGGTCAGCCTTTTGATTCTTACTTCCGTTTTGAATTTTCCACTCACCCTGAGATTCACTAGAACAGCAAGTATTTTAAAATTAAAAGCCCTTGCTTTTTAAGTGTTTAGAGCTGTCTTACTTCATCAAAAGAAAAAACTGTCGTTTTTGCTGAAGATTGAATTTATCTGCTTTTCGGTCTTATATTCTGTTAGTTAAGTGATGCAAATAATTGAGAACGTTCATGTGGCTAGTCCATGTATGTTTTCATAGTCATAGTTTTTCTCAGGGGGGCGTCAGTACTGCTGCTTAGTCTACAGATGCGCCATCTGCACTGCTAAATAGATTTATTATTATTAACTATCATCTTTTATATGAAGGGAACTTGGCGGAGAAAGTGATAATCCAAAATTTTCTTGGTGCATAAATATAAAGTGCTATTTTCTTATTGATTCCATCTTCCTAAAAAATTCAGAGATATTTGGCACGCAAAACTTAACGACTTTATTCATAGTTGCTTAATTGATTCTTCCTACACACATTCATCGATATTCTATTTCAGATGTGCTACATGTTTCTAAAAGGCAATTTGTAGCTACTACATGCTCTAAATAACTTAAGCAGTTTCTAGATTGAAGTATTCTGAATGTTTGTGCAAGTATAAAGGAACTAATTTGATCTGATTATGAATATGTTGTTCCCGGTAACAGGGCATAATGGTACCATTAATGGGCAGGGTCAAGCATGGTGGAAGAAATTCCGGCAGAAGCTTCTTAACCATACCAGAGGACCGCTCGTGCAGATCATGTGGTCTACTGACATACTAATCTCAAATATAACTTTACAAAACTCTCCCTTTTGGACGCTCCATCCATACGACTGCAAGAACGTAACGATCAGGAATGTCACAATCCTGGCACCCATTGCTGGGGCTCCAAATACTGATGGTATAGATCCAGGTGAGTCTTCAATAGGTTCAGTGTTTTTATAAATAGATCTTGGGCTTGTAGCTTTACATTGAGGGATTTCTAAAAATTTGAATTTAACAGTTTTTTTCTTTTTTTTTTGATCTGGTTAAGTCATCTGCGGAAACAATGTGATTTTAGGCTCAACTTGTATGAACTTTTGTTACATAGATTTCTGGTTCTTTAATCAAATCAACAAGAAGGGAAATCTATCAGAAAATTACTTGTATTACTTGATGGATGTGGTGCTGGTTTTTTGGACTTTGATTTAGAAGTTTCAAAGCAATTATAACTCAAGTTTTGACATATTAATTTGCTAAAAAAATCAGTCATATGAGAATATTTTTTAGCAAAGTATAATTTTTGTCTAGGTTTGTACTGAAATTGCAATGCTTCTGATACTGACATCAGTCTAAAGACTCTAATATGCATTCTGTACTTTTTCATTGCTTACTTTCTGTTGATGGACACTCAGTATAGGCTCTTGATATGTTTTAATGGAGTCAACAGATTCTTGTGAAGATGTGTTGATAGAGAACTGTTACATCAGTGTTGGTGATGACGGCATTGCCATAAAGAGTGGATGGGATCAGTATGGAATTGCTTATGGACGGCCTTCTAAGAATATACTCATCCGAAACCTTGTTATTCGTTCCAATGTCAGGTGAGGTCCCCATATAGGCATAATGCACTTAGATTTCTTTTGCACAGATTGGTCGTCTCTGACATCTTTATATTTTCTTGCATCTGAATCATGATTTGTGCACATGTTCATCGAGTATTGACAGTTGACCTGCTGGTCAGCCACTTGATGGTTTGAAGAGGCACAACTTTTTTTGGTTAATGATCGTTTTAGTAAAGCCCCACAACTAATTTTAGGCTGAAGTTTAGTTGATGGATCGATTGACTGATTGATACCATTTTAGTAAAGTATCTAGCAGCAGTTCACAATAGAAACTAGTTTAGTTTAACGCCCTTATGTGGCATGCTATGCCTTATATATTAAACTAGGGACGAACCGAATGCCGGAGCCACATGTATCCAAGGGTGTCAATTGACACCCTTTCGCCGAGAAATTACACTGTGTAGCTTGGTAAAAAATTCTTTTTTATGTATATATACTATATATTGACTCCCATTGCCTTCTTCGTGGTTTTACTTCTTCATATTTTGATACCCTTTAATGAAAATTCTGGCTCCGCCACTGGACTAACCCTGACTGAATTACATGGCAGCGCTGGTGTATCAATAGGGAGTGAGATGTCCGGCGGAGTGTCAAATGTCACTGTGGAAAATGTCCTTATCTGGAACTCGAGACGTGCTGTACGCATCAAAACAGCGCCTGGAAGAGGAGGATATGTTCGAGATATAACGTACAGGAACTTGACATTTGAGAATGTTAGGGTGGGAATCGTCATCAAAACAGATTACAACGAACATGCAGACGAGAGGTTCGACCCCAAAGCTGTCCCTGTACTGAAGGACATAAGCTACACATCAATCCACGGTGAGGGAGTTCGTGTGCCTGTTCAAATCCACGGGAGTAAAGAAATCCCTGTGAAGAACGTTACTTTCAGAGATATGTCAGTCGGGCTATCATACAAGAAGAAGCATATATTCCAGTGTGCTTTCGTTCAAGGTCGTGTTATTGGTACTATCTTCCCCGCCCCTTGTGAGAACCTCGATCTATATGACGAGCAAGGACATCTGATCAGACGTTCTGATTCTCAAAATGCGACAGACATAGATTATGACATTTGAAATGGTTCCATATCCATTTTCCATGGTCAAATTTCTCCCACTGCTCCTCACTTCAGTTAACTACCATTGCCTTTCTTTTTTCTGAATACATATTTGTCCCCTGCATTATACATACAGAAAGAAGTCTGTTAATGTATTCAAATCCACAGATCCAATGTAAAGAACAGCTCCTTTGTCACTGTACAGAATCTTAGTTCCATAAAGATAATTCTTAACATCTTTTGTTTTTTTGGTTTCCCACCCAGGTGTCCAGTACCTGCTCTGGGGCCCGACTAAATCTGGATTCGCGCCGTGAAGTCCCACGTTGGGGGGTAAAGCGCTTCCTAACAAAGGCGACTTCATACCCAGCGCTCGAACCTGATATCTCTGGTTAAGGATGAAGGAGTACTTACCACTCCGCCACAACTCTTGTTGGTGTTTTTAACATCTTTGTGGTAATATTAGTTTGGCTATTATTAAGTCAGTAGAGAGCAATGTTTTTCTTAGGAGTAACCAAGATTATGAGCAAAGTTGAAATTATAAATTTCTTATTTTCTGGTATTTTCACCATTGTTATCAACAGTTTTAAAGCTATATTGGTTTCTCTACTACCTTTCGTTTCCCACTTTTAGCCCAGTGCTCAGTTTTATTTATGTTTCAAATTTTCTTGCAAACGTTTTTGCATATATTATTTGAAGAATCAAAAGGCTGGTCTTTTTACTGCATCCCATACGAATTATTTTCTATTTTTATTGTATTTACTTAAAAGATCCTTAAAATTGTTGTTCTAATTTTGAACTTTTTGGCAGTCTATAAATGATTTAAAAAAATTATATAAAAACAGAAAAATATGCATGATTTCTGTTTTTGCCCACAACATGTACCATTTGGCCATATATGAGCTGGATCATTGTCTATAAATTATTATTCTTTCAACAACTTTTCTTCCTTTTCCTTCTTCTTTGAAGCTACATTTATCGCAAGATTTTCAGATATAAGACTAATCTGGTTATTAAAATATTGTGTCCCATTCCCACAAACAAAATAAAGAAAACATACTATTTATCTTTTTGTAACTTAATGTCATTTTCTTCCAATCAGATTATAATATCAAGAAAGGATGAGTATCTATCAAATTTTAACCATCATAATTCCTGTCTTCAGCTGTTAAACTCAACTTTCATTTTCTATATGCCAGTTTTCTGAACTAGCAAGATAACTGGCCTGCTCTCTTTACCAAGTAGTTTGATCAATTTTTGGAGCTAAATTTAAAAAAATAATTTTACATCTTAAATTATAATTTTTAATATTCAAAACTTACATTGAAAGTACAATAATTTTCAGTTTCGGTCGTATTAAAATGGTAAAAGGACCGATTTATAAAAATTTGTAGTTCAATTTAGTTTGACACTGGTCAGAAAGTGAAAAATGATTACATGGTTATACAGCAGATAATTAAGAGGTAAGTCTCAAACTAAAAACTCTTATAAACAGAAGTTATTAAATTTATGTGTATTGAACTATTCAAGTTGCATTCCAATTTATTTATAGCTAATAAAGCAATTGAAATGGACTATCTAGTGAACTAGTTACTAGGGGAATTCTTCCAATTTAAATATATAAATTTTTTATCGCTATTTTGTATTGAAATAATTATTGGATAATGCCGAGTAATAGCTGATGAATGCCATACCATTAAAAACTAATTCCACGTAGCTAAGCGTGGAGATTTAAAACTGAGAAGGTCAAGTAAGGAGTCCGAAACAGAAGCATGGTGGAAGTAGCCTAAAAGGAAGGAAACACAATCTTATAACAATGAAAATTAAAAATAAATACATGTTATCCATGTGTTAGGGAAGAAAGTTAGTAGGTAGCTCAGCGTGTCTATTTTTTATGCCAGTAGTAATAGTAGTATTAGTCTTATATTTTCCTATCTGCCAAAAATCTATTACCATATGTTATTTTTTCGCTCCGGTTTTCGTATCTTATCTTTGTTATTGTTACTGTCTTTTTTTCATCTTTCCTTGAGCCAAAGGTCTATCGGAAACAATCTCTATCTTCATTAAGCAAGAATAAGGTCTGCGTACACACTATCCTCATTAGACTCCACTTTATGGGATTATATTGGTTTTTTGTTATTGTTATTGTTGTTGTTGTTATTGTACATATTTTCCATCTGGTATCTGAAACTCATTATTCAAACTAATTCGAATTTATGTCGAGTATCATCTATTAAAAGGGAAGCACTCCTACGAGGAGTTTGTCCATTGCTAAAGTTCAAACTCGAGATCTCTAATTAAATATAAAAGGATCGCATCCATATCACTCACCACACTCTTAAGTGAAATATTTATTTATATAAATTCACATCAATGGACACAAATTAGTAGTCAATAAAATGATACTCTATAGTTACAGGATTAAAAATTTTAATGAGCAAAAAATCCACCCTAAATCTATTTTTAAAAAGGAAGTATGACCATTGCACAAAGAGGACATGAATCATCTGAAAGTTTAAAAAGAATAGAGATGTAGAGGTTCTTTTGAAAGGTCATTGTTTCAAGATGTTTCTAGGAAATATCCCCAAAATGTACAACACTATTCCAGATAAGGGGTGGATCTAGAAGCCGACACGCGAATTCGGCTGAATTCAGTAGTTTTAGCTCAAACTCTGTTTATAAATTAAGAAATTTATTAAAATATTTACAAAAATTAAATTCAGAACTCAGTTAGTAAAATCTGATATCGGTATTATAAAATTTAGAACGCATAAAATTCAAATTCTAACTCCGCCTCTTCTAGATTCGACAACTTACATTTATTTAAAAGGAGAAATATTCAAATGTTTTATGCAATGAGTCACCGATTCTGACTTTGTATGAAATGCCTCGTTCAACATGTGCTTACACTGTATATATCTATAGATAGCACTCCTATTTATGATTCCTTTTCCTGTTTCAATTTCCTCTTCTTCTTTTTTTCTTTTGCTCATTCAACACGTACAAGCAAGCTCAATTCCAGCTCAACATTAATATTCAATATTATCATTATTATAATAGTAATTATTATTGTTAATTCAAGATCAAGAGTTGATCCAAACATGGTATAAGGAACAACAATTACTATTAATATTTTCTCTACTAGGGGCACGTCGCAAGCAGGGGCGTATCTAGCACTATAGCTACGAGTTCAACTGAACTCATAACTTTTGAGGTGGAACATAAATTTATGTTATTTAGCTTTGAAAATATGATGGGTTCAATGCTAAAAACCTTAAATACTGAACCCATAAAATTTAAATCTTGGATCCCGCCTCCGCTTACGGGTTCGGGCGAACTTAGTAGTTTTTGTGCAAATATTGTATTTATCTTGTAAAATTCATAGAATATGTACAAATTATTGTTTTAGAACCAAGTAACTTAAAAGAATTAAAATTCCGAACCCATAAGCTTCAAATCCTAGCTCCGCTTCCGATCGCAAGGGACTAAGTAAGGAGACACATTTTATGTTCCATAATTCTATTTAGTACAATATAAGACGAAGCCCTTTCTTATTTCATTCGTTTACTGCAGAACAAATTCTTTATTACTGATTTTTTTTGGTTGATCGCATCTAACACCTAAAGGGATAAATTCTTAAATAATTATAATAATAATAATATTAAATATTTATACTATTAACAGAAAACTGTTAGTGATATACTGGATAATAATAATAATATTAAATATTTAAATAACATAAGGAGTACAAGTTGGTGGTGGTGGCTATATAACATATTTAAAAACTAGGAAAAATGATATTGTATAGCCGCTATCAAAATAATAGCCAATATATATATATATATATATAAATTTACAAATTTATATACTTTTTCGGCCCTCGAATATAAGTAGTTTCTGGCGGGGCTAAAAGTGATAATACCCCTTTTTTTCAAACTAGGAAAAATTGACAATGTATAGCGAGCCGCTCTCAAAATAATAGCTGAAAATGTATATTTTTTGTATATATATATACTTTATGTATGTTATATACAAAAATTATTCAAATTTTATGTACTTTTTTGACTATCAAATATAAATAATTTCTGGCACAGGCTAAAAGTGATAATACCCCTTTAAACTATTAATTAAACTATATATATTAAGCTTAAAAACATTGAATAAGCCACAATAGCTATAGGTTTTTAGATAAGGGTTTATATTTAAGTCATATGTGGAAAAAATAAGGAAGGTTCGAAAATAAACAAGACCCACTCAACAACACGTTATTATCATTTATCCATCAAAGGACGCAAAGAAAGAATTGGAGTCAACAATTTTGTTTTTATTTTAGAGTCAACTAATTTGAGTGGATGAACTCATATAACTCATATTCGACGTGAATTGCCATTAATTAAGAGATTATATTTACTTAGTCAAACACGTGAGTGGATTTATTATATACATAAAATCTAGAAAACTTGAATTTTCAAGTTTTACATGTTGTTGACTAATTAAACGATAACACATCACAGAGATAGGCATTAGCGAGGTAGAACTTTTAGCAACGCGATTTAATATTTATCATATATATAAAACAAAATCTTAATCTTATATATGCAATGTGATTTTTCGGTGAAGGGTATTTCGATTAACCCCTTTTCGCCCCTCGAGCTCTATTCCTGCCCTTTGGTATTAGAGGCGGATTTAGGATTTCTAGTACATAAGAGTGCACTACTAAAAAAAAAATAATATATTAAGTGAAAACCGAGCCCTATTACTCTTGGTAAATAGCTCAATGTTGAATCAAGTGCACCATTCAATTTTCTTAAAACATGAGTGTCAACGATTAATATTATACCAATTTTAGAAAATACGTATATAAAATATATAATTTTATGAATAGACCATTGGTTCACTTGTCCTATAATCCCCCTATAAACCCGCCCCTGCCTGGTATTTCGTAGGAGTATTAAATTTAAAGCTGATTGCTAGTTTGTTGTTTTACACTGCTTAAGTTTTAGTTTCTTTACATATCTATTTTATGCTTAATTTTTTCATATACATTATGTGTTTATACTCCCAAGAGGGGTAGTTTCAAGTACCTTGGATCGGTTATTCAGGGGATCGGGGAGATTGACGAGGATGTCACACACCGTATAGGGGTGGGGTGGATGAAGTGGAGGTTAGCGTCGGGAGTCTTGTGTGACAAGAAAGTGTCATCGTTACTAAAAGGTAAGTTTTATAGAGCAGTGGTTAGGCCTGCCATGTTATATGGAACTGAATGTTGGCCGGTAAAGAACTCACACATCCAGAAGATGAAAGTAGCAGAGATGAGGATATTGAGGTGGATGTGCGGGCATACAAGGATGTATAAGATTATGAATGAAGATATTTGAGAGAAGGTGGGCGTGGTCCCCATGGAGGACAAGATGCGGGAAGTAAGACTCAGATGGTTCAGGCACATTCATAGGAGGAGCAATGATGCACCGGTGAGGAGGTGTGAGCGACTGGTTGTAGTGGGCACGCGGAGAGGTAGAGGGCGACCTAAGAAGTATTGGGGAGAGGTGATCAGACAGGACA